GCTTCGTGATACGATCGCTGGGACTAAGCTTTACTTCATCCGTGAAGCTTTTACCCAGGCTGCAATGTCCCCACCGGCACCCAAATCCTTCAAGCTGACGAGAGCATGAACTGCCTTCCTTGGGAGACGGGATCGGGGGAAATCTGCATGCTTTATTTCACCTCTTTTTTTGGGCTGTTTGCTGTCGTCTCCCAACTGCAGTCTTTTCAGTATTCTGACGCCACAGTTTTCTGCTTAGAATTCCTCACCAGTGGGAGGTAGTGAGGTACCTGAACAGTTGGGGAGGATATGTTGTTTTGAAGCATGGAGGGCTTCAAAAGGGAATTAGATAAGCATATGGAGCAGAGGTCCATCAGTGGCTATTAGCCACAAGGTATAGATAGGGACTCTCCATCTGGGGCAAGAGATGGTCTGTCTTCTTGGTGCTTTGGGGGGTCAACAGTGGGAGGGCTTCTAGTGTCCCGGCCCCACATCTGGACCTCCTGATGGTGCCTGGTATTTCTGGCCACTGTGTGACACAGAGTGTTGGACTGGATGGGCCTTTGGCCTGATCCAACATTGGCATCTCTTATGTTCTCTTATGTTCTTATGTTGTTGTTGTTGGTGTTCAGTCGCACAGTTGAGTCTGACTCTTCACAACCCCAAGGACCACATCATGCCAGGCCCTCCTTTCCTCCGTCATCCTCTGGAGTTTGCTCAACTTCACGTTCGTTGCATTGATAACGCTGTCTGACCATCTCATCCCTTGCCGTCCTCTTCTTCTTCTACCTTCAGACTTTCCCAACAGCATCAGGGTCTTCTCCAGTGAGGGCTCCCTTCTCATTTGGTGGCCAAAGTCTTTGAGCTTCAGTCTCTGGCCTTCCAGGGTTGGCAGTCAAGGGTTGATTTCTTTTAGGATTGACTGATTCTGTCTCCTTGCAGTCCAAGGGACTCTCAAGAATCTTCTCCAGCACCACAATAAATGCTGGGAGGATATAAGCTGGCACAACTTGAATACACATGTCCTCTGAATGCGCTTTTGTAGTGTGCAGAATCCCAGCGCACAGAAGTAGATATACCACTATGGGATTATATGTGGGTGGCTGCCCTGATCCCTGCGTGATTCCAGCCGTTCTGTGTTGGGGCAGAGAGATTTTAGGGTCCAAGTCGTGCCCAGGAGCCTGAAGACTCGCGACACAAATCTGGTGGGCCTCTGTTAGCTGGTTTGGTTGCTTTGGGCAGCCTGCCACGTGTCTGTCCTGGGTCCTTTGCGCACTTGGATCTCATCCCTGGTTTTATCAGAGTTCAACTCGCGACACAACTACCTTGCACTTATCCCTGGTTATAACAGCATCCGTTTATCCCAGGACAAGTGTGGGGCGAAACGGGGGAGACCGCAATGTAATGTGGAAACAAGAAAATACCCTGAGATAATTACAGGCGTGAACTTGCGTGTAGTGTGGAATGTAACTTAGGGGCCAGGGTCGAACCAGGATTTTGTAGGAGAAAAGAAATCCCTAAAGAGCTGTGGTGGCTCAAGTGGTTAAGACGCTGAACTGCAGGCTGTGGAAGGTCAGTAGTTCAGCCGTTCGAGACCCGGGTGCCGCATGACGGAGTGAGCTCCCGTCTCTAGTTCCAGCTCCTGCCAGCCTAGCAGTTCGAAAGCAAGAAATTGCAAGTAGATAAATAGGTACCACTTTGGTGGGAAGGGAACAGCGTTCCATGCGCCTCGGTGTTCAGTCATGCCGACCATTTGACTATGGGAAAAGTCTTCGGACAGCACTGGCTCTTCGGCTTGGAAACGGAGATGAGCACCGCAACCCTAGAGTCGGATTTGACTGGCTTTCGAGCAAGGGAACCTTTACCTTTAAAGAAATCTAGATTTTCACGTTCCTGAGCCAAGTGTGGGCAGGAACTTGCTTGCCCTGTATCCACCAATGGAACTGCAGGACCACTGCGTTGAATTCTTGTATTTTCACACACGTTAGTTGGGAAACCTAACAAGAGGAGGGAGTGAAGAATACCTAGTTGCTTAGAAGCAATTCCACTTTGGTGGAGACCCAGAGATGCGTCAGTGTCACGTTTATTCCAAGGACTTCCTCATCAGAAGTGCAAACCGAACCGATTGTCGCTTGTGGTGTTTTTGCCTTCAGTGTTTGGAAGGGACCGGGCTTTGGGTGAGCGGCCAGGGCAGCCACTTAGAAAAATTTAGGGCCCTAGGAAAGGAAAGTTCAAGAGATGCTTGCCTTCCTGCGGTGCACACAGATAGGTTGTGCATACAACCTGGAATCATACATAGCTGGTTGTGCGTACAACCTGGAGTTGGGAGGGGACCATAGAGGCCATCTAGTCCAGCCCCCTGCTCAATGCAGGATCAGCCTAGAGCACCCCTGACAAGGGTTTGTCCAGCCACTGCTTAAAGACAGCCAGGTAGGGGGAGCTCTCCACCTCCACGGGGCAGCCAATTCCACTGTTGCACAACTCTTGAGGACTGTCAAAAAGTGTTTCCTAAGATCCAGTGAGTACCTTCCCGCCCTTTATTTAAACACACTCTTGCGAGTCCTATCTTCTGCTGCCAACATGAACAGCTCCCTGCCAGTGTTCCCTCTTTAGTTCAAATACTTTGGCCACCCAATGAGAAAAGAGCACCCACTAGAGAAGACCCCGATGCTGGGAAAGACTGAAGGTCAAAGAAGACGGGGACGGCAAAGGATGAGATGGTTAGACAGCGTTATCGAGGCAACAAACATGAAATTAAGCAAACTCCGGAGGACGGCGGAAGACTGGAGGGCCTGGCGTGATGTGGTCCATGGGGGTTGCGAAGAGTCGGACTCGACTGCGACTGAACAAGAACAAAAAGTGTTTCCTCTAAGCTGCGTTAGTGTGAGCTAGCTCACGTTTTCTTAGCCTCCGGCTCACACTTTTTTGTCTGAGCTCAGGAAGGACGGCTCCAGAGCAAACTAATTTATGCAGCAGCCAAATCGCTCGCTCACACCTTTAAGGCCAGTAGCTCACAAAACAGAATTTTTGCTCACAAGACTCCGCCGCTTAGAGGGAGCATTGCTCCCTGCCCTCCTCTAAGTGACAGCCCTTCAAATACTTAAGAGTTTTTATCTTCTCCCCTCTTGCCTGATCTCTAGGCCTTCTGCTTAGGCCCTGCCTGGAGGCAAGACGGAAGTCCGAGTCCAGCAGCCAAAGGCAGTGGAAATAACCGGGCATCGGCCTGCTCCTCCTTGCCTCCTTTTAGCCACGCCCCTGGGCTCCTTCCCAGCTTTGGGCTTGCCGGCTTCTGCAGTGTTGGCAGGCCGGCGCTGGACTCTGATCGGGAATGTTTGGGCGGGGCCGCTGCACTGGACGGGCTTCCTTTTCACCGCCACCGTTAGAGGTGTCAGACGAAACACTTCTTCCAGCTTGACAGGCGGAGTAGATTGGCAGTAAATGCTCCGCAGGAGCTCTGTCGAGAGGTCCGGCTGAAGAAGCAAGTGGTGTCCTTCGCCACTAGTTCGTTCGGTGCCGTCTGTTCGCAGAGCCAGGAGTTCAGCTCCTGTTAGGCTATCCTGTGTCAGGTTATAGCAGAACCCTGTTTCAGGGTACCAGGTTAATGCCGCTTGGTTACAGGAAGTTAATGAATAATCGGAGTGACTCTTCTACCGTTTACGGAACTCCAACCCAGGTTTTCCAGTCCGGCAATAGGTGTGAAAAGCACGGCGTGCCCAGTTACCTTTGTCAGTTGCCCACTTCAGAGGGCCCCGGCGGGGTGTCCGTGGGCGCCTGTTCCTGGTGCCCCCCCCAATGTTTTTAGAAAGCAGGGTGGGGCTTTCGGCTGTGCAGATTCTTTAAAAAATGTTGCTTTAACGGCAGCTGCCCCAACGAGCCCCAGGAGGGCTTCCGGCTGTGCAGATTCTTTAAAAAATGTTGCTTTAACGGCAGCTGCCCCAACGGCACTAGGGGTGTGCAAAAAAAAAAAATCGGTAAAATTCGGATTCGGGTTTATTGAACCCGAATTTTTTCGGGAAACCCGAAAAAACCCGAATTTCTATACCGGTAAACCATAGATATCCGAAAATTTTCGGAAAACCCGAAAAATTCGGGTCCATTATAACCAATGGGGCCATTGAAGTCAATGGCAAAAAACCTCTTGAAACTTTGCGGGGGGCTGGGGGGGAGG